AGCAGTCTTTCACAGCACCAAGTCTATAGTGGTGTACAAATCCACAGTAGTAGGCGAGTCCATGATGCATGATCATGAAACACGTGATGACGGTGCGGTGCGCCTAGCGTGCCCGATCCTTGATCTGATCAATGCTGATTTCACTTGCATCTGTAGCCTGGAGCTCCACCTGAATGCCATTGAGCCCACTCTTGAACTTCTGGTTAGAGCTAGCGTAAAGCATCTTGCTCTTCACCTTGGCTGAGTCTGGGGACCTTGGAATTCAGAAGCAAAACATCTCATGAGTGAGCAGCTTCACAGCAAACAGCAACAAGGGATGCAAACACGAGGGCACAAGCAATACCATAGGATATAGAAGATCCTGCTCTTCTGGACATCCTCTGCAGTCACAAAGTCAAAATCATAGATTGCGTATCGGCAGTCATTCTCAGGGAGGCTGTTTGTGAAGTCCTCATAGCTGGTAGCGCGATCCCCAACCTGGTCCACAACTATCTCCTTGAACTTGTCGTCCATCTTGTAAGTTATGAAGCGGTGCAGCCTCTTCGACTGCAGCTCGCCGAACTTCAGCATGCACTCATCATTCACAGCGACACCCGATCTTGCATTTGCCTGCGATCACAAGTTAAATCATGGCTAAATAGAAATGCAACGTTGAAATTTCCCTTCAAAGTACAACGGTATTCATAATTTACGAGACAGTTGCTTTCACACATTTTATTTTGCATGGCAGAGCCAATTGTCCCCAGCGTTCTAAATGAGGCTGCATTGAACCAGTACAGAAACTGCTAATATTAGATATTTCAGCTCGTAGTCTTGACTACACGAGTCCACTAAGTCCCTAAACACGGAAGGCATTTCTCTCGAGACGCCTAGTGAGTACTAGCAGAGTATAGTACCACTAGAGATTCCAGCATAGCTGCGCAACTCCTGGTCAATGGCAGTGCTAGTGTGCTACTGCAAGTCTGGAACCTACAGTCAACAGATCCACACGAGAACCAACAGGACTACAGAGCAGCTGGTGCAACCCTAAGACGTCGAGAGCCAAATTAGCAGATGTATTGCAGTCACACGAGCTACACGGGCGCTGAGACACACGGATCAATCGAGATTCCACCGCCACGGCATCTCGCAGAACTTAGATCTAAACAGCTCGATTTCACACGCCACAGTGCAAACAACCACGGATCCAAGCGGCCGCGCACCACGCCACGGCCTGCAGCTAGCACTAGACAAAGCACCCGACATCGAAATCACAGATCGCGGAATCCCGGTCACGCGGGCCAGGATTCTGGCTCTCAAGCGTCTCCCCCGAGTCCCCACCACACACGGAACCATGAACACCCCCACGATCCGATCAGAAATCCCTCCCGAGGAAACCACGAATCAGCCCACGAGCAAGCCGAGCAGCCGCGATCCTCACTGAATCCAACTAGATCCGAAGCGCTACGCTACCGCCCCGCGAGAACAAAAGGCCCTGAAATCAGGAGCGGAACCAGCACGCCCCGCGCCGATCTGGGGAGCAACCGCGCGCGGGCAGGAGGGGAAGCGGAGGGGAGCAGGGGCCTCACCATCTCGGGCAAGCTCGCGCGTCGGAAGGGGACGAGGAGGAGGAATCCGCCGAGGAAGCGAAGCGAGAGAGGAGGGGGGCTGGCTGCTGGTGTGCTGCTAGGCTGCGTGCCGAGTGACCAGCCCTGCGGGGACGCCTCGTGTTTTGATGTGGTCGCCGGGTTTTCCACCGCGTAGCCCCCGTGCGGTGCGGTGCGGGGGGATGGGGTGGGTGGCTGCCCCGCGACGGAACGGAGCGGCCGCGGTCGTCGGATGGTTAGATGGACGACCCCGATGGAGACACGTCGGCGCGGCGCGATGTCGCCCCAGGGGAGGTGGGCCGCCAGGCCCCGCGATGTAACGAAATTGGAGTACGTACGTATGTTCTTTCTTTTATGCCTTTTTTTAATTCCCGTGAGCTTTTTCTCATAATATTTCGTTCGTTTTCTTTTCCGCGAAAGAGATTTCGGAATGAGCATCCTTGGAAAATAATAAATGTAATAAATAAATAAAGGATTCTGGGAGAAAGAGTGGACGCGGAAAATATCAGGGGAATCAAAACCACAGAAAAGCAGCGGCAGCGGAGATCGACACCGACCGCGGGCCGTGGGCCGTGGCACCGGCCTTATCCTTTTTCTTTTTTCTTTATTAAATTATTATTACCATACTTTTCTTTCGGCTGCTTTGCTAGCGTGTCGTCGCGTCTTGTGAGATGTCTGTCAGGCCGTCCTTGAAGCAGTACTACTAGTAGTAATCATGCACGCTGATCTGTGAGCAGAACATTAGCAGTAGAAGCAGGACACCATGGTTGCAAAACATCGCTGTTTAGTAGCCTGGACACTACGTGCACGCACAGAGAAACGAAACCGTCGTGCTTTACATATGATGATGATCCCCTCCGATTCAGTGAAAAGAGCGACCAATTCATCAGTTTTATTCGTGTAGTATACGTAGCAGCAACGTTACAGAAAGGAAGGAAGGAAACGATCCAAGCACGACAAGAACGACTCGGTATATATCACCATTAACTACACACCAATGCTGCAAGCACCCCCGTAGTTCCGTACACGGTACACCTTGCATGCCGTACGCACGCATACGGTGTCCATACGTGACGGAATGGACGGAGCGACAATGCAAGCACTCATCATCCTCGTTCATCAGGAGGCGTGGTTGTTGAGGACGTCGAGCGTCAGCTCGCCGGGCTCGGTGGCCTGGAGGTCCACCTGCACGCCGTCCAGCTCCTTCCTGAACCCCTCGCGGGAGCTGGCGTACACCATCTTGCTCCTCACGCCCGCCGCCTCGGGGGACCAGACCACGAATAAGATCTTGCTGCGCGGCGACTCCCCGGTGGCGGTGGCGTCCTCGACGGTGAAGTCGTGGTCGTACACGGCGTAGCGGCAGTCGTCGGCGGGGAGGCTGGCAGTGAGGTCGCCGAAGACGGCGCCCCGTTCGCCCACCTTGTCCACCACCACCCGCTGCAGCGCGTCGTCGACCTTGAACACCACGAAGCGGTGCGCGCGGCCGCCGCGCAGCTCCTGGAACCGCGCCACGCACTCCTCCGCCACCGCCACGCCGGACGCCGCGTTCGCCTGCAGTGCAATGCAACAATCCAGTAACTGAAATGAAAACGTGCTCCTGCAGAGTCCAGATTGGGAATCGAGAGAGCACGTACCATTGTGTCTAGTCGCGTCGGAGCCCGCCGGGCGGTGTGGAGAGCTGGAGAAGGGAACTGAAAGATTCAAGTCAATTCAACGACGATCACAGCAACAGCATGCAACCTTGTAGCTTTGCAAGTAGCCGCAGTAGTGTTGCAGTGTCAATGGACAATGGTTCTCAATGGACGTGCCCATGGCTGCTTTAATAGCTCGCGACACCTTGCCGGATCAATGGCCGTGTCAAAGATGTCACTGTCGGGTTATCAAAACAAAAGATGTCACAGTCGAGGAAGTAATCAGAGAGGAAGAAGAGGTGTACTGCACACGTGTGAGCCTAGTCTGTTCTAGACGCCTGTACGTGGCACTCGGCAGTCGGCACAGAGCGCGCGTGTCTTGTCGCCGCGGCCTCTGAACCGTGGTTGGTTCGGTACTTACAGCTAAACACCGCCCAGAGCGTGCCAACCCATCCTGATTAAGCGATTGCTATTAATAATTGGGCAGCATCCACATCCAACACGTGTTTCTGTCGGCGTGAGTTACGCGGTTGATCAAGAGTTCCGAGCGTTGCTTGGGCCGTCTTGTCTCGCCGTCCGTCTTGGACAGGGCTGTATCTACATGCAATGCCGGATTGCGCGAGGCCGGGGCCCGGATTGCAGTTCCTTTTGTAGAGATGGAACTGCTTACTGTACATGTTAAGTGCCATGAGTGCTCAATTGAACATTGCTCTTTCTTTTATTTGAGCCGCTTCATCTACGCGGTGCTAATCATACCCAACGACATTTCTTATACATATTTATATTAGTCAGAGTTACAAGAATCTATTTTTGGTCCTTCAACCTTCAAGTGTTCTGGATTTATTCTCACCGCTGTTTGATGAAACTTGCCTTCTACCTGTTTAGAGATATTGCAGCTTTTCGAGGAACCTTGAACATTTTCAAAATTAAGCTAGTGATCAGTGAATGATGGTGTCACTTGGAGCCAGAGCTGCATCAGTAAGTGCTGAATCAATTTTGGAATATTGCAGTAAAATGTTGTACTTCACTAGTATTACTACCTTGTTCAAGCATTGCTTCCTGAAATTGCTGCTGGTTACAGGAAAGTTAGTTTTAGTTCGCTTAATTGTGGCCGGTGAAGGTATGCTTGTAGTTGCTAAATTGCCACAGATCTGTATATTTCAGTGTGTGAAAGTTACTTCAAGAGCATGAATGTTGCTCCTTTATGCTGTGTGAAGAAAACTGAGCTAGCTCGGTTGATCGAGGACGTGAATAATGTAAACCGTAACTAGTAGCCTATAAAATTGTGAGATGAAACTATGTGTTGAGAGAGACTGCCTGTGTTTTATTTATGAATCCAAATATGTAAAGCTAGCACTCTTGGAAATTGTGAGATTAATACACTAAGAATTGCGTCCTAACAATAACGAGTGCTTCATACTAATTTGATGGACCGTATACCTAGGGCGACCTTGGCTTGACTACCCAATTCCAATACTTTTCTGTTTGCGTGACGACTGCTCCATGCATATTTCTGTTTCTGATCAGTTTCATTTGCTTACCGCGTAAGACTACCCGAAAATGTAATCACACAGCTCTTCAAACGCGGGGTCGTTACAGGTCCACCGCGCAGGTGCCTTCAGCGTATCCCAAGATTATTGATCTTCTTCTTTCTTTCTTTTTTTTGCGAATTAAAGCTTCATTCATTCATCAGGGAGTATGAGAATTACACCCTTCAGCCAACAGGTTTACAATACAGGCCGGAGCAATTTGCACTCTCCCAGCCTGGTGTCACCTGTGACTTGCTTTGCTAGTACATGAGCTATGTGATTACAGGAGCGGCTAGCATACAACAAAGAATTGGCGCCAGACAAGTTATCTGAAAATCCCTGCTCGCCCACAGTCTGACCAGCTCCTGATTGTCTGTCTCCAGTTGGAGCTTCACCACCGCCTTCTCCTTGGCAAAGAGCATTCCATCACGGCAGGCCAAGGCTTCCATCATCAAGGCGTCCAAACCATACGGATACCAGCGTGCCCGGCCTCTTATGAATAGACCTGTCGAGTCCCTGAGAAATTGATCTTAGAATGTTGACCCCCCCAATCTATACGCATACACCACAATTATCAAATTGCACAGCTTTTTCTGAAGGCCTTGTTTAGCAACCTTGATTATTGTGGTTTGAGAATATAAGAAGCAGCATGCGAATGGTTCTTACAAAGACAGCAGCGAGACAGCCAGAGTGCCAGATACACAAAAGAATTAAGGAGGAGTAATAATCAGTTATTTACATGTACAACTAAATGAATGAATGAATCAATTGGCCAATATGCCAACAATGTACTGTGAATCTACAATGTGCAGACGGACGACTGAAACGCAAAGAATTCCTCTACTGCAAACTAGAAAGCCCCCGATGTATGGGTTCTCCGTGTACGGGCAAATAATAAAACTCTACACGAAGAGCTGGAGGAGGACAGGCGGCGCCTGCGCGGTGGTGGCGGCGGCCTCCTCGCGGTGGCGGCGCATGTGGCCGCCGAGCGCCTGGCCCATCTCGAAGCCGAGACCGCAGACGTGGCAGAGGTGGCTTGCGGGAGCCGCCGCCGCCGCCTGCTTCGTCGCAGTCTCCTTGGCGTCCTTCGCCGGCGCCAGCGCGGTCATCCCGAGCGCGAGGCCGTGGCGGCCCCGCAGGTGGCTGGTCCGGTGCCCGCCCAGCGCCTGGAACGACCCGAAGGCGCGGCTGCACGTCTTGCAGACGAACTCGCCGCCGCCGTCCCCGCCTCCCGCTGCCGCGCGCCGGTGCCTCTTGCTGCTGCCGTGCTCGGCGGCCACGCCGCCGCCGAGGGACAGCGCGAGGGAGAGCGGCACGGCGCCGGCAGCGGAGTCTCTCGGGTGCTTCGCCATGTACCAAACGGTCGGCTGGTGATGGAACTAAGGGCTCGCGATCGAGCTCAAGATGTTGGGAGAGAGAGGTGAACGGAGGACCGACGCGGGATGTATGCGAGCTCGGAGGAGCAGAGCAGGCCGCAGGTGGTCGTTGTGGAATGTGGATGTGTTGGTGGTGGCTCTGGCGAGTGCATGCTGGCCTTTTATATAAGCGGAGGAGGAGGAAGACGCTCTGCTGTCTGCTCACGTGCACTCTACGTCGGGGCGGACGAGAGAACGAAAGGCTGGAAGGAGCGCGTCCGTGCCTGGGCGACTCGTCTGCCTGCGCCGGCGTCGCCCGTCTGCGTCTGGAACCGTCTGAACGGCAGAACGGGCCGAAAGGGATAGGAACCTTCTGTGATCTGTCTTAACGCGGTCGGCCTATGGCGCGGCGTGGCGTGGCGTGGCGTGGCGTGTGTGCTGGCCTCACGCCGCACCGCGGGACGGGGAGCTCGGAAGGGTCCGCGAAACGGAGCTGACGGTGTTAGCAAAAAAGCGTTGGGGACACGGACTGGTCGTCGTTACTCGGTATCCTGGGGCCGCGGGCAGGGGAGACGGCACCCGCACGCTCGGTCTGCTTTGACGCCGCGCGCCGTTGCCTGGGTGCCTGCCTGCCTGGTCAAGCAAGTCTTGGCCGCGAAGAACGAACAGGGATAGGCTGCTAGTGTTAGCTAGCTAAGCTAACAACTCGTAGTCTCGTTCGAGAAACAGAAACGTCGTAGCCACCGCACCCTCATGCTTGAGGGAAAAGTTTCGTGTGAAGCTGCGCACCACACGCACCGGGCACGTGTGGACGGGATCGAGTAGGTTTCGCTGCACGAGTACCAATCTGGTAGAAATATGTTTACTGTTCGTCACTCGAGATCTCCCTCTACTTGAGTCCTTGTAGTTTCCTTTCAACTGCGCGTGTGCTCTGCTACCTGCTAAGCCCTATTCGTTTAAACTAATCAGCCAAGGACAAAGCTACGTTGCGGCTAAGCTGGGCTCTGGCCCCCTTGCCTTTATGAATTTTGTAAGGGATAATTATGTTCTTGCTATTGTCCAGTACTCCAATTGTGATTTTGCTCCTATTTTTTAACTTTGTGTTTTTGTCCTTGCTATTTTGAACTGAACTGTCCGTCTACCCCTGCTTTGGATGTGCGTCAGATGCCCATTGAATAGATGAATTAAAAAATTCCAAACCTGAAAAGAAAAGTCCAAATGCCCACACTGCCCTTATCCCTTTCTGGCTGTTTCTCGACTCCACCAAGACACCGACCGCATCGGAGAGGGAGGGAGCGGGCGGCGCGGTTCCAGGCGGCGGAGCGTGCGGCGTGGGTGCGGTGGCTCGGGCAACGTCGGCATCGAAGCGGGCGGAGCGAGTGCGCGGCATTAGGCGGCGTGGCGCGAGCGGCCCGGACACGGGCAAGCGCCACGCCATCATGGTGGGCTGCGGCGGTGCTCGGCCGCTGCTACGGGCGGCACTGGTGACGTGGACGCTGAGCGGCCGGGCACAAGGGCGACGGAGCGGCATCGTAGCGGGCGAGAGCGGGCGGCTCCGGTGCTTCGGACGCAGCGGCTCCCGACGGCGCGCCGTCAGCGGGTCTCCGCGGCGCCCGCTTACGGCTCCCGACGGTGAGCGACCACGCCCGCCTTTGAATTGAATCCTTCCTTATTCGTGCTCCCTTTGCTTTCGACGGAATCTCGATTCATATCCTTCGGTGTCTTCAATCACTCGCTCTGCGCTACGTGGTCGGGTTGATCTCGCTTCTGCCCCAAAGTCCGGTTTCATGTGGCTGTCTGATTTTGTTCGATTGTGTTCTCGTCCTTTGGTTTTCCGATCCAAGGTGGCCTAGCTCCGCTATGCTTAATAATCTGCTCACGTCAGAGATTTGCTCATTGCCACAGGTGCGAGCATTACCGGCGAAGGTGCAAGATCATGGCGTCGTGCTGCAACCAGGTGTTCCCCTGCCGCCACTGCCACAACGAGGCTACGGTGAGCTAGTGTCCCCTTTTTCCTTTTCGCAGGGATCTGTATTGTGCGGCTCTTTCGTAAGTAGATCAGTATTGTGCCTTCTAAAATCGAACCGTCTAGTTTTGGCACTCTGGAATGGGAACTTGATAG